TTACAGGAGCTGAAGAATTTTCTCGTTTCCCCTCCTGTGCTGCGCATCGTCGACCCATCGAGCCGTTCGAAGTCGTCACCGATGCCTCTGATTTCGCCATCGAAGCTATGCTACTCCAAGATTTCGGGAACAAATCGCAGCCGATAGCCTACGAATCACGCAAACTACAGGCAGCTGACCGCAACTACCCGATTCACGACAAGGAGATGCTCGCCATTATTCATGCGTTCAAACAGTGGCGCTGCTAATTAGTGGGTGCCGACGTCACTTTTCGCACGGACCACAAATTCCTACAGTACCTACAAGCTCAGCCCAACCTCAACCCGCGACAAATTTGGTGGTTGGACTACATGGAGAGCCACTTCACCAACCGCATCACGTACAAGAAGGGGGCAAATAACATCGCCGACGCCCTGACTCGACAGACAATACAATCCGCTACTGTACTCATCACCCACTCGAACCCGCTACTTACAGGACCATTCACCCATGGCTACACCACGGACCCGTTCTTCACAACAGGAAATCATCAGCAGGCCACGACGCAGAAACGGGATTATTACCTAAAAGTCGGAACCGACCGGATTTGGGTTCCCGCTTACAGGCTGCTGCGTGAATTCCTTATCCAGGAGGAACTGCACACTGGGTTGATAAAACCCAGAAATTACTGCACCGTCAATATTACTGGCCTGACTCCTCTAACGACGTGCAGCGATATGTGTCCTCATGCAGGGTGTGCCAAGCCATGAGATCGACACGTCAACGACCAGCTGGGCTGCTGCAACCCCTCGAGCCACTCGTACGACCGTGGCAGCAAGTGACAATGGATTTTGTCACGGGGATGCCAGCTGGGCCGTCCAGCAACGACGATGTTCTCGTCGTCGTCGATCGCCTCACGAAAATGGCGCACTTCGCACCGTGTCGTACGAGAATTACAGCCGAGGAAACTACGCGCCTCTTCATCTCAACGGTCGTGCAACTGCACGGAATCCCTTCGGCGATCATCAGCGACCGAGATCCGAAGTTCACGTCGAAATTTTGGAAGGAGACGTGGGCGCAGTACGTCACAAAACTACAGTCTTCCTCAGCATACCACCCGCAAACGGACGGCTAGACCGAGCGGACCAATCGGACCATGGAGCAGTTGATCAGAACAAACTGCCCCGACCCTACCCGCTGGGAAGACTCACTAGCCATGTTGGAGTTCGCCTTCAACAACGCCCCGTCTAGCACGACTAATCACTCCCCCTTTTTCCTTAATTACGGGATGGACCCGACGGTACCCACAGCGACTACCCTCGACAACCCGGTCCCGAGGTCACAAACATTTGTGACGGAACTTCAAGAAGTTCGCGAAAAGGCCGCGGACGCAATTTGCAAGGCGAATATCACTTCCCGAAAATACACCGACCTTCTACGACGGGAACTCGTCTTGACAGCTGGGCAACTAGTGCTCCTGCACCAGCCCGGCCCATCGAAACTACGGCCACGATTTTGTGGGCCTTTCAAAATTATCAAGATGGTGGCACCTGTCACCGCGAAGCTGTTGCTACCCGACGACTGGCGCATCCATGACGCCTTCTACGTCAGCCTGCTTCGAAAGTTCGTGCCAGCCACAACAGACATCGCGTAACAAAATGCTGCCCCAACAGCACGACTTGTCCCGGAGCCGACTCTTGACCTATCGAAGATTCTAGCACATCGGGTTCGCCTTGACGCAGCTGGTCGCGACGTGGATTTCCTCATCCGTTGGACTGATCGCACCAGTGAAGACGACACGTGTGTGCACTCCGCCTCGCTGGACGCCTCATCACTTGTTCGTGATTACTTGGCGCGCAGACGCGTTTCGGATATTGACCACCTTTCTTAAGGGGGGGGGTAGCGTAAGGAATTTTCTCGAATTCCTTATCGGAGTTGACTGCTTCGCGTACAGCCCTGATTTTCAGACTTAGCACGTTTGGCTGATTTCAACGCTGCCGAGGCTCCTCGCGTCGCCTTCGGCATTTCCCATCGCCAAACCTGCACCCAACTTCGCTCGTCCGAGGTTCCCTCCTAGTTAGGCTAGCTCCTACATTAGTCTGTGCCTTCATTGTATTCTCAGTTCGTTCAATCACAGTTTCGTTATTCGTTTACCTGCGCACTCTCTTTTACAACTCATAACAGTCGCTCATTTCGCATGCGGGTTACTTTCGCTAATTCGGCCATTTGGCAAGTGGCCGAATCTATTGGCTTGGCGATGTTACACGCCGTCACTGACGTTGAATGGGCTAGGCACGGAAGCAGCACTCGGTGCTGCTTGGCTGAACCGAAATGTGGTTTGATACAAACTGATCGAGGAAGGTTAAGAGCGGCACGGCTGATTGACTGGCATCCAGCCTTGATTGACTGGTTCGCTGCCAAGCCTAGGAAAAATCTTCTCGAGAGGTGCGGAAGTCGGACCTGAGCCCGAAACGACGTGTGCTACGGCCTTTTGCGGCGCACACCGCACGGTCCCAAACACCAAGGGGGGAGGTGGTGGGAAAGACTAAAGCCGAAACGCTCTCCATCGCACAGAACCACATCTCACTGTAAATAGATGAACTCTTATGACGCTTCCTGAGGGACGTGCGCGCGCGCGAGGTGATGGGCTGCCTGCGCTAGCTAGCCCTCGAAAGGTCAGGCAAATTCACATTCGTTAGGGCGTGTAACGTTTTCCAATTCTGCCCGTATGGATGGCCCATCGTCCGGACTTTTGTAGGGTTACTGATATCGTCAATTTTCGCTTTGTATTTGATTCGTTGACAGATTTTGTTGAAGTTGGTAACCTAAAACAAATCCGGATGGTGGGCCGTCCAAACGGTTAGAAAGAGAACAATTTACACGCCCTAATTTGCCCATCTGATCCCAACCTGACGTGACGGTTTGGTGAGTGGCGTGGCGAATCGTGCGTCATACGGGGACTCACGACAACTATCACCCAGGTCTCAGCAGGAAGTCAGGTCAGGTGTGTGTTGGGTTGAGAGTCTCGACTTGGGGTAGGTGCCTGTGGGAGTTTGCACGGCCTCGCAGCGAGAGCGGCATCGGTTCTGCCGTCGAAGCACTTCACATACTAGGCCCATCGTCCGCTCACGCGTTCGCGTGAAACATCTTGTTTCTGTTCCTGTTCTGCGGAGATTTTCCAGCGACTCCAAAGTCACTTGCAATAGAAACACCGTCCGCTCTCGCTTTCACGTCAATCCCTTTCGATTCGTCTCCTGTTGCGCGGAGATCTCGAAATGGGTTGGAACGCGCCGCGTCGTTCCGTGGCGTCAATATCAGCGTTATTAGTCGCCGCGCTTCTCGTTAGCATACCTCCGAGGGTCTCTTTCGCGGCCACGGACCCTGCTCAAGGTAGGGAGATCCCCCTCTCGTTGACATAATCCTGGCTCGTTTTTTTATGACGGAGTGGTGACTGGAGGTTAACAAAAGAATTTTGCCATTGTAGAGGAGAGTGTCCTCTAAGAGAGCATAGTGCCTTGCAGGTCGTTTTTTAGAATTTAATTGACGACCTCTGAAATAACCCCCGTTCTGCTCCAGTGGTTTAGGGCACGGATGTTATGACTGGGAATTCAGAAAGTAGCGCGCGACTTCGCGCCAAGGGCTTAACCGTGAAGCTCGCGCTTTTTCTTCTGAAACCCCTGTTTAGCTCCCCATTCATCGGTTTTCTTGCCACTTCTCCGCAGCTGCTGTTTTTCGGAAATCCCTTTACTCCGGGCGGCAATCCCTATGCTCTTCTCTTCTCGGCAATCCCTATGCTCTTCTCGGCAATCCCTATGCTCTTCTCGGCAATCCCTATGCTCCCTCCGGTAATCCCTATGCATCCACTGCCATCACTCTCACCCCTATAGTGGCCATTCTACAGCAGATTGCGGGCATGGGGAATGAAAACAACACTTCTCCGCAGCTGCTGTTTTTCGGAAATCCCTTTACTCCGGGCGGCAATCCCTATGCTCTTCTCTTCTCGGCAATCCCTATGCTCTTCTCGGCAATCCCTATGCTCTTCTCGGCAATCCCTATGCTCCCTCCGGTAATCCCTATGCATCCACTGCCATCACTCTCACCCCTATAGTGGCCATTCTACAGCAGATTGCGGGCATGGGGAATGAAAACAACGCGCTCTTCAACTCGTGGACAGGCAAAACCCGTGACACCCAACTTTATAAATCATCCTGAGGTTCCATTTCTTCATTCCACTGCCATCCCTTCATCCACACGCAGTGGCCATTCTACAGCAGATTGCGGGCATGGGGAATGCCAACGAAGGGCCATTCAACACGCGGACGGGTGAAACCCGTGCCACTCACCCCTATCTATCTATAACACCTCGCTACCCACTGCGCCAAAACGAGGGTGTTATTTGGCGCAGCGGAGTGCCCTTAACACAGCCCACAGGCGTTACACTCGTCCCCCCTTGGTACCAACGTCTCCGTTGGCTCGGACTTCAGGGAGTCGGCCCCCTGCAGCTGGGACCTAAATTTCAAGATCGTTCACTGGGTTCGAGCTGGTAACCACATTTCAGTTCTCGCCACAGGCGGAAAATGTGCACCAGCTGGGATTCGAACCCTAGGCTCTGAAACCAGTATAACACCTCTACCCACTGGGTCAAAACGAGGGTGTTATTTGGCGCAGTGGAGTGCCCTTAACACAGCCCACAGGCGTTACACTATCACCCTGAGGTTCCATTCCTTCCCCTCATCCACTGCCATCCCTTCATCCACACGCAGTGGCCATTCTACAGCAGATTGCCAGCATGGGGAATCCCAATCAAGCGCCCTTTAACACGTGGACGGGTGGCGACCCTTGTGGGGCGCCATGGGATGGTGTCAGGTGTTCTGCTGGCGGTGGCAGTTACGACGTGGTTACCGAACTGTGAGTGTCACTGTGAGGGTAGGCTCTTAGTGCAGCTGTGCGTGCAGCTGCTAGTGATGTATGGGTCGAATCATGGGCTGGGCTGGCGACAGGTGAGAGCGGTGGCGGTTACGATGTGGTTACCAGACTGTGAGTGTCATTGTGAGGTTAGGTCCTGCGTGCAGTGATTGCAGCTGCTAGGACTTGGAGTTGACTGTTGACGCAAAGGTCATGGGCGGGCGGCATGGGCTGGTGGCAGGTACCCTGTTGGCATGCTCTCTCATCTCCTCTCTCCCTCTTGCTCCTCCTCTTGTCTTCCTCCTTTCAACCCCACTCTCCCATCTCTCTTTCTCGCTTCTCTCAACCCCACTCTCCCATCTCTCTTTCTCCCACCTCCCCTTCCCCCTTCTACCAGCTTTCTCGAGGATGCAAAGCTGACTGGCACCTTGCCGCCTTCCCTCTTCGACCTCACATCCCTACGCACAATGTGAGCTCTCTTCCCTTCCCCCTCCCCTTTCCTTCCATCCCTTCTGCTCCAATCCCCGTTCTCCACCTCCTTTCCAACACCTCCCTCCCTCTCCACTTGCCCTCCCCTCCACTTCTCCCTCTCCACTTATCCCCCCCTCCACTCCTCCCCCTCCACTTACCTGCCCCTCCACTCCTCCCTCTCCACTTACCTCCCCCTCCAGTCCTCTCTCTCCACTTGCGCGCCTCTCGAGTTCTTTCTTTCCACACACCCTCTTCTCAGATTCTCTCTCTCCTCCCACTTCCCCTGCAATCTCCTCCCCATCAGCCTCTTCCCCGTTTTCTTTTTAGCTGTTCTTAAATCCCACTCCAATCCCTACTTTTCCCTCCGTTCGCCCTCCCCCCCGCCCCCTCTCCCCCTTCCCCCCTGCGCCTCTCTCTCCTTCTTCTACTCTTCCCCCCCCGCCCGCCTGCACCCCTACAGCAGCCTGGGCATGAACCCAGGACTCCAGGCCTCCTTTGCTTCGCAGCCGTGTGTCTTTCCGACCACTATCCCCCTCTCTCCTCCTCGTCTCCCCCTCTCTCCTCCCCGTCTCCCCCTCTCTCGCCCCTGTCTCCCCTCATAAATGTCCCCTTCATCCCCCACCCTCCCTCCCTTCCCCCCCCTTCCCTCCCTCCCGTACCCACCAATTCCCCCCCAACCCCTAACCCTCCCCCCCGACAGCAGCCTGGGCAAGAACCCAGGCCTTCAGGGCTCCTATGCGCAGCAGCCGTTCATAATTGTCTCTCTTCCTCCCCGCCCTCCTTCCCCCTCCCCCCTCCCCTCACCAGCAACCTGGGCAAGAACCCAGGCCTGCAGGGCTCCATACCAACGAACCTTGGGAACCTTGTGCAACTGACTCTCACTCCTACTTTCCTCTTACTCTCCCCCCACCTCTCCCCACCCCCTTCCAGCAATCTCGGCAAGAACCCAGGCCTGCAGGGCTCCATACCAACAAACCTTGGGAACCTCGTGCAACTGACCATGCTGTAAGTGTAACTGTAGCCTTTTAACCTTTGTAGCGAACACAGGCGCAGCAGCAGCAGACGCAACAAACTGTATGCCCAAAATCGACTACCAAAAGGCATGAAAACAGAAAGAAGGTCTCAACCAATGGTTTAAGAGCAATCATTCAACCAATGGTTTAAGAGCAATCATTCAACCAATCCTCCTCCTCCAGATGAATCAATGCAAAACGTGGGGGTGCTGCTCTGCTGGGTTCTCTTCTCGCTGCCGGCACCCGTTTGACCCACTCTGGAAGGAAGGACCACGCTGGTTGGTTGGTTGGTTGTTACCTTTGTCACCTCACCACAACACACATATTTTTTCTGGTTCGCAGAACTAGCTCTCAGGCGCCCCCTGTGTCCCCCCTTCCCCTCCCTCCCCGCCCTCAGCAACATGCAGGGATCAAATCTCTCAGGCCCCGTTTCCACCTCCATACGCAGCCTGACCCAACTCGTCTACTTCCTGGTGTTTCCGAACCGGCTCTCATTCACCCCCTGTGTGCCCTTCCCCCTCCCCCCTTCTCTCCCGCAGCAACCTGCAGGGCTGCAATCTCTCAGGCCCCGTTCCCACCTCCATAGGCAATCTGACCCAACTCGTCTACTTCCTGGTGGCTCAGAACCAGCTTTCCGGACCTCTGCCGGACCAGTTTGGGCTGCTGCCGAAGCTGTTTCAGATCGACATTATAGACAATCACTTCAATGGCACCTTGCCCACGTTTGCTGGGGCATCTAGTTTAGTGCACCTGTGAGTATTGATCTCTCGACCTTTCAGTTGATTTGAGTGTTACATCACAGCCGACTAACCCATTTGACTTGTTGCTGGGGTGAAAGGTTGCGTATACCGATTCTTCTGTCTCTTTGTTTCCCCTCTCTCGCCTTTCTTCTTTCTCGATTTCAATGACGCTTCCTTTTTACGCATCCCATTATCCGTCCGCTTACCCCTCCACTTCCCCATACCCATCCCAGTGTGCTTTTCCTTCTTCCTTCCTCCTCGCAACCCCTCCTTCCTTCCCCTCCATCCTCTCTCTCTCTCCCTCACCCCATCAGCCACATCTCACATGAGTTACGATCACCGCTCCTCCAATTCTTTTGAAATCAAGTTCTGAAACTTCCCTCAAACCCCGTCTTCCCCCCCTTCCCCTCTTCTGGCCCTCTCACCCCTCCCCTCTCAGCCACATGAGTCGCAATCACCTCTCATCCATCCCTGGTGAAATTGCACAATTGCCAAGCCTACAGCATTTGTGAGTTCCCTTGCCAAGCCTACAGCATTTGTGAGTTCCTTTGCCAAGCCTACAGCATTTGTGAGTTTTCTTGCCAAGCCTACAGCATTTGTGAGTTCCCTTGCCAAACCTACAGCATTTGTCAGTTCCTCTGCCGCCTATAGCACTCACAGGTTTTCAAGTTGTTGTTGTTGCTGGTTTTTTCTTTTATTTTTCTTCCTTCCTTCCTTTCTTTCATATTTCTTTTTGCTGAGCATGCATGCAGCATCTGTTTCGTTTTCGAGCCAACTATAAAAGCTTGCCCAGTTTACAATCGTCACAGTCTTCTTTCCTCTTCACAGTCTTCTTTCCTCTTCACAGTCTTCTTTCCTCTTCACAGTCTTCTTTCCTCTTCACAGTCTTCTTTCCTCTTCACAGTCTTCTTTCCTCTTCACAGTCTTCTTTCCTCTTCACAGTCTTCTTTCCTCTTCACAGTCTTCTTTCCTCTTCACAGTCTTCTTTCCTCTTCACAGTCTTCTTTCCTCTTCACAGTCTTCTTTCCTCTTCACAGTCTTCTTTCCTCTTCACAGTCTTCTTTCCTCTTCACAGTCTTCTTTCCTCTTCACAGTCTTCTTTCCTCTTCACAGTCTCCTTTCCTCTTCACAGTCTTCTTTCCTCTTCACAGTCTTCTTTCCTCTTCACAGTCTTCTTTCCTCGTCACAGTCTTCTTTCCTCTTCACAGTCTTCTTTCCTCTTCACAGTCTTCTTTCCTCTTCACAGTCTCCTTTCCTCTTCACAGTCTTCTTTCCTCTTCACAGTCTTCTTTCCTCTTCACAGTCTTCTTTCCTCGTCACAGTCTTCTTTCCTCTTCACAGTCTTCTTTCCTCTTCACAGTCTTCTTTCCTCTTCACAGTCTTCTTTCCTCTTCACAGTCTTCTTTCCTCTTCACAGTCTTCTTTCCTCTTCACAGTCTTCTTTCCTCTTCACAGTCTTCTTTCCTCGTCACAGTCTTCTTTCCTCTTCACAGTCTTCTTTCCTCTTCACAGTCTTCTTTCCTCTTCACAGTCTCCAATCCACGCATCTCAGTTACCACCACCTGCTGTGTGCGCCTCTGTGTGTCAATCCACGCATCTCAGTTACCACCACCTGCTGTGTGCGCCTCTGTGTGTCAATCCACGCATCTCAGTTACCACCACCTGCTGTGTGCGCCTCTGTGTGTCAATCCACGCATCTCAGTTACCACCACCTGCTGTGTGCGCCTCTGTGTGTCAATCCACGCATCTCAGTTACCACCACCTGCTGTGTGCGCCTCTGTGTGTCAATCCACGCATCTCAGTTACCACCACCTGCTGTGTGCGCCTCTGTGTGTCAATCCACGCATCTCAGTTACCACCACCTGCTGTGTGCGCCTCTGTGTGTCAATCCACGCATCTCAGTTACCACCACCTGCTGTGTGCGCCTCTGTGTGTCAATCCACGCATCTCAGTTACCACCACCTGCTGTGTGCGCCTCTGTGTGTCAATCCACGCATCTCAGTTACCACCACCTGCTGTGTGCGCCTCTGTGTGTCAATCCACGCATCTCAGTTACCACCACCTGCTGTGTGCGCCTCTGTGTGTCAATCCACGCATCTCAGTTACCACCACCTGCTGTGTGCGCCTCTGTGTGTCAATCCACGCATCTCAGTTACCACCACCTGCTGTGTGCGCCTCTGTGTGTCAATCCACGCATCTCAGTTACCACCACCTGCTGTGTGCGCCTCTGTGTGTCAATCCACGCATCTCAGTTACCACCACCTGCTGTGTGCGCCTCTGTGTGTCAATCCACGCATCTCAGTTACCACCACCTGCTGTGTGCGCCTCTGTGTGTCAATCCACGCATCTCAGTTACCACCACCTGCTGTGTGCGCCTCTGTGTGTCAATCCACGCATCTCAGTTACCACCACCTGCTGTGTGCGCCTCTGTGTGTCAATCCACGCATCTCAGTTACCACCACCTGCTGTGTGCGCCTCTGTGTGTCAATCCACGCATCTCAGTTACCACCACCTGCTGTGTGCGCCTCTGTGTGTCAATCCACGCATCTCAGTTACCACCACCTGCTGTGTGCGCCTCTGTGTGTCAATCCACGCATCTCAGTTACCACCACCTGCTGTGTGCGCCTCTGTGTGTCAATCCACGCATCTCAGTTACCACCACCTGCTGTGTGCGCCTCTGTGTGTCAATCCACGCATCTCAGTTACCACCACCTGCTGTGTGCGCCTCTGTGTGTCAATCCACGCATCTCAGTTACCACCACCTGCTGTGTGCGCCTCTGTGTGTCAATCCACGCATCTCAGTTACCACCACCTGCTGTGTGCGCCTCTGTGTGTCAATCCACGCATCTCAGTTACCACCACCTGCTGTGTGCGCCTCTGTGTGTCAATCCACGCATCTCAGTTACCACCACCTGCTGTGTGCGCCTCTGTGTGTCAATCCACGCATCTCAGTTACCACCACCTGCTGTGTGCGCCTCTGTGTGTCAATCCACGCATCTCAGTTACCACCACCTGCTGTGTGCGCCTCTGTGTGTCAATCCACGCATCTCAGTTACCACCACCTGCTGTGTGCGCCTCTGTGTGTCAATCCACGCATCTCAGTTACCACCACCTGCTGTGTGCGCCTCTGTGTGTCAATCCACGCATCTCAGTTACCACCACCTGCTGTGTGCGCCTCTGTGTGTCAATCCACGCATCTCAGTTACCACCACCTGCTGTGTGCGCCTCTGTGTGTCAATCCACGCATCTCAGTTACCACCACCTGCTGTGTGCGCCTCTGTGTGTCAATCCACGCATCTCAGTTACCACCACCTGCTGTGTGCGCCTCTGTGTGTCAATCCACGCATCTCAGTTACCACCACCTGCTGTGTGCGCCTCTGTGTGTCAATCCACGCATCTCAGTTACCACCACCTGCTGTGTGCGCCTCTGTGTGTCAATCCACGCATCTCAGTTACCACCACCTGCTGTGTGCGCCTCTGTGTGTCAATCCACGCATCTCAGTTACCACCACCTGCTGTGTGCGCCTCTGTGTGTCAATCCACGCATCTCAGTTACCACCACCTGCTGTGTGCGCCTCTGTGTGTCAATCCACGCATCTCAGTTACCACCACCTGCTGTGTGCGCCTCTGTGTGTCAATCCACGCATCTCAGTTACCACCACCTGCTGTGTGCGCCTCTGTGTGTCAATCCACGCATCTCAGTTACCACCACCTGCTGTGTGCGCCTCTGTGTGTCAATCCACGCATCTCAGTTACCACCACCTGCTGTGTGCGCCTCTGTGTGTCAATCCACGCATCTCAGTTACCACCACCTGCTGTGTGCGCCTCTGTGTGTCAATCCACGCATCT